TTGTACATACATTTTACACAATATAGCCAGACAATATGAGGCAGACTGTCCTAGAATATTTTTTTAAAAAGATCTTAATCAGTAAGAAATTACAGCCTGAATTTCATTTTTCAGACTCAAATTAAAGACAGATGTATTAATAGCATCAGTTCACTAGTTCGTGACATGTGACAATAGCCTGCAATACCAAAAACTTCACAACCTCCCTGGGCAGCCTGTTCCAGTGTCTAACCACCCTCACAATAAAAAATTTCTTCCTAGTATTTAACCTGAATTTCCCCTCCTTCAATTTGTACCCATTACTCCTTGACCTATCACTACCATTCCTTATGTAGAGTCCCTCTCTGGCTTCCCTGTAGGCCCCCTTGAGATACCGGAAGGTTGCTATGATGTCTCCACACAACCTTCTCTTCTCTAGGCTGAACAACCCCAACTTTCTCAGCCTGTCTTTGCTGGGAAGGTGCTTCAGTCCTCTTATCAACTTCATGGCCCTCTGGACTTGCTCCAACGGTTCCATGCCCTTCTTATGTTGGGGGCACCAGAACTGTACACAGTACTCCAGGTTGGGTCTCACAAGAGCAGAGTAGAGGAGGAGAATCACCTCCTTTGACCTGCTGGCCACGCTCCTTTCGATGCAGCCCAGGATGAGGTTGGCTTTGCCAGCTCACGTTGAGTTTTTCATCAACCATCATCCCCAAGTCCTTCTCCACAGGGCTTCTCTCAATCACCTCTGCCCAACCTGCAAGCATGTCTGGGATTGCCGTGCCCCAGGTATAGGACCTTGCACTTTGGTTTGTTGAACTTCATGAGGTTTGCATCAGCCCAGCTCTCAAGCCTGTCAAGGTCCCTTTGGATGGCATCCCTTCCCTCCAGTGTGTCAACTGTACCACACAGCTTGGCGTCATCAGCAAACTTGCTGAGGGTGTACTCAATCCTGCTGTTCATGTTGCCAACAGAAATGTTGAACAGTAACAGCACTTTCAGTACTTTCCTCCCAGGTAGTGCCTATATACTGAATATAATCTGTTACGCTGCCCATTTCATTTCTTTAGAAGTCAACCTATCATAATACCTATTAAAAGCAAACAGTGTATGATAGCAATAATATGGAATATCAATATATAGTTTTGAAAACAAAAGGAGCTCAGCCTTTGTAGTAGATATATCCTATGCTGTCACGCTCTGGTTTCTTTAATATCTGTATTTTGTTCTCCTTTTCTAAACATGTGAACATCTACTTTCTTTGTAGAAGGTGGATATCTATCTGTGTAATTCCAGGAGTTCCCTCTATCATTTGCCTTCACAAATGGAACAAGCACCAACCAGCATTTACAAGGCATGGGCAGTCCAAATTTTTAATAGATTTTACTAGCATGGCAACAATAACTCAGAAGGAAACATGAGCAATAAAAGGCACAATATCACAGCAACATTTCAGTTGAGCTTTCCTTCTGGGGTAACAAAACTCTTGGATGGAGGCACCATTTTATTTTGTCATTTAGTTTACATGGGGAAAAGGAAAACTTTTTACAGAGAAAAGGCTAGCAGTTTCAGAAACTACTTTTTTTTCCTAAAAACCCTTGGCACCAAAGGAAGTATATTTCTCACTCGTCCTCAGAGAGTGTTAATTGGACATGACTTAACATTTTCAAAATCTTCTTAGCTCAGCTATACTTACATTTTTATTAGTTAGGACTTAAGTGGATGGTGCCCACCTTATCCATAAATTAGGTTTCTTGCTGTACTACGATTTTGCATTAATCATGGTTCAAATGTTTATTAGCCTTTCAATTTCTAAAGCATTTACAGAAATACTGACATGGTAAAGTTCAGTAGAACCATATGGCAATGCGTTCATTGATCCTACGCTCACTAAAAATCTTGAATGCACTTAAATTAGGACTACATTTCATAAACAAATTTTCTTATATAAAGATGGTTCAAATACAAACATCTTTAATAAATGCTAATAGAGTTCTAAACAGTGCCTTATTTACTTCAATTGCCACTGCCTTTGGAAGATCATGGATCAATATGTTCTTGGCAAAATTATAATATTTAACCAATATTTTCCCTTAAATCCATAATCCAAAGAATAAGTCAAATAGTTCACTAAAAAGGATCACTCATTGATCGGTATTCAAAGAAACATGGAAATTTTTGATTAAGTATTAGGAAAAATATTTTTGGCATAAGGTTGGTCAAGCACTGGAACAGGCTGTCTAGAGAGCTTGTGAAGTCTCCATCCTTGGAGAAGTCTGAAATTCCCCTGGACAACCCAAGCCATGGGCAACTTCATCTAACTGGACCTGCTTTGGGCAGCAGGTCAGACCAGATGACCTCTGTAGGCCCCTTACCATCTAAGTTATTCCATGACTCCATGAATAAGCGCCAAAGAAGGCACTTCATTTCAGCGTAACTATATTCACCGAGGAATGCTACAAGATATCAAGCTTTAAGCAAATGCTCAATTGTTAAAATAACAATAAATGCAGCCATTTTCTATTAAACTATGTGTTCTAGAACAAGCAGCAGTTACGAGTATTGAGGCCATGTTGCTGAGAACACAGCTGCGATGGGCAGGACACGTCTCAAGGATGAAGGACCACCGCCTCCCTAAGATCCTGCTTTATGGTGAACTTGCCACTGGCTGCTGCAACAGAGGAGCCCCGAAGAAAAGATACAAGGACTCCCTGAAACAACATCTCAGCCTCAGCCATATTGATCTTCATCACTGGTCTACTCTGGCCTCCAATCAGGAGGCCTGGAGACGCACTATCTACAACGCTGCTGCTTCTTTTGAGAATGCATGCAGGATCACTCTTGAGGAGAAAAGACAACGCAGAAAGAATCGTGTCTTGCCGATACCACCTAAGGAGTCTTTCTGCTGTGCCTTTTGCAACCGGACTTGTCTATCTCGTATTGGCCTCTTTAGCCACCAGCACGCTTGTAGCAAATGTGGGTAGGGTCCTTCCCAAATCTTCGTTTGCGAAGCCTAGCCATGATGATGATGATCTTTGTGTAACAGTGGTTATGTCTAATCTGTTTTAGTATATTTTTATCTAATAAACAAATAGTAAAATGTCCGTGCAAAGGAAATAATATGTGCTGTTATCTATATATATATAACATAAATTGAGGCATTGAAACCAAATCCAGACAGCTACTCATTCTGTGTGGCCAGGCTCACCAGACATGCTTCAAAGACAAGTTCATTATATGACAATGATAGATAAGTTCATCCTATGAGGAGCAGCTAAGGACTCTAGGTTTGTCTAGTTCAGAGAAAAGGAGGCTGAGGGGTAATCTTGTTGCTCTCTACAGCTTCCTGAGGAGAGGAGAAGTGGAGAGTGAGGTGCTGATCTTCCTGGTACCCTGTGACCCGATGCATGGGAATGGTTCAAAGCTGTGTCAGGGAAGGTTCAGACTGGAAACTGGGAAACCTCTTGTAAAGAGGGTGGTTAAACACTGGAACAGGCTTCCTAGACAGGTGGTCAATGCCCCAAGCCTGTGTTTAAGAGGCATTTGGATAATGTACTTTAAGTTTTGGTCAGCCCTGAACTGGTCAACTGGTCAGGCAGTTGGACTAGATTATGGCTGTAAGTCCCTTCCAACAGTCCCTTCCAACTTCTCCTCACCTCACCTCACCTCTTCTTTTTTCTCTTCTCTTCCCGCAAACCCCAAATTTAAACAACCCAGTGAAAGACAGACTAAGCAGCAGCAGTATATTGTTCACAGCCGCTAGATGTCAACTGTGAGTGAAGTTGGTATTTGCATACACAAAAGCTCAGAAACCAAGCTTTGTACCAAAGTCACACTGTTGGCCACCCTTCCCTTTCTCTCTCTGCATTAATATCTACATATCCCTTTCTCTGCAAAGGCTGTACTGGTTGTAACAGTAACTTTTTATTCTCACACTGTTCAAATGTGCATGATGGTCACCAATTCTCCATTCATAATCCTGTGTCCTTATCTTCACCTACTTAATAGACATCTTTGAAGAAGAGAGCACAGGTAGCAGCTAGAAATAGCACTTCACAATAGATTACTTGGGATTTATACAGCCCATGAAGATTTTCTCAGAACTATCTTATTTCAGTAATTTTCTAAATATTAATATTAATGACACTTTAACTTTTAGTATTCATGAAGTATGATAAATAATATTTTAGTTTGGAAGTGAACAAAAAATGCTATCTGCAAACTCAGAAAAACTTCAAGAGCTTAAGTACAGCACCAGATGTCTCTGGAGCCACCAGACCTTTCAGAAGTGAAAAGCAAGGATAACACTGATTATCTATTCTGTGCCATAGTGACATAATTGCATTGTCAATAAGGTCTGTAGATGGATTTTCTATATGGAAGCTGATTTGTATCTTTTTGTAGAAGATTGGAAACAATTAGTAAAATAATGGTACAAAATAATGACTACTGAAAAATTCTGCAGTTTTGCAGCCTACAATATTGTATCTACTTATACAAATTAGCCCAGCAACAACAGCAGACGTATAACAGAAGCATTTGTTTACCAACATGGATTATATTAAGGAAAAAAATTCAAAGCAAGATAACTTTCTCTTTTAGCTCACAGTAAGACATATGTTCTTATTTAAGTAACCACACAAGAAGACATACAGCCTTCTGAAACGAAAATCTGAATTCTAAGTCCATATATGGACCAATAGACATTTACAAAATATTTTTCCTAATGTATATGCAGTTTTTTATTCCTTTCATTTTTTATACTAATGCAATGAAACTATCTATTTCTTACTAGAAAACCTTATTAGGAATGCTGGTATTATATTTTGGGGTGATTAAATATGCAGTAAAGCTGAATCTTTGTCAATCTGTCTTTTCAGTTTATACACCATAATGTTGCCTGCAGTTAAAAAAAATCATAGGAAGAAGAGCTGGTAAATTGAAAAACAAATACTAAATGTCATTAGCATAGATGCAGATCACTTGAAGCACACATAGAATACTGTTAAAATGCTTACCTTAACTATCCCACGGATGTGCATTTTTGCTATCATCTCTGCAGTGTAAAGAAACATCAACAAAGTATCAAGAGCAAATGTCACATACTGGAGAGGCGGATAATGCTCGAAGGTCTTTGGAGTGTTCATACAAACAGAAATAACACTGATGATGGCACAGATTCGTAGTAAAGAGTGTACCCACTGAAAAAAAACCAAAACCAAACAAAACAACCAAACACAAGATATTGCAAGATTGCTTTGATCTTTAAAAAAAAATCAAATATTTAGCCCTCATAACTTATATTAGCACCTTTTGTAAATGCACATCTGTGTTCTTTTATGTCATGATCCAGATATTAAAGGTCTTTAACCAAAAACAAGCACTCCTAAATTATTTATAATTATATATACACATAAAGAATTTTATTAGGTAATTTGCGAGGTTGTATAATTCAGAAACCAAAAATTAAGAACCACGAAACTGAGAATTAGGATTCCATCATTTCTACTTTGCGGCATTTGTAATTCAATTTCTTTTCAAATGGCAGCTTGCCACATTTATGGGCAGACAATAAGTAGAATTAGTTGAAGTTATATATTGGGTAAATACATTAAATGAAAATATCTGTCAACAATTTTAGTTCAACACTGAGAAGAAATTATTTTTAAATCAGTTTACAACTCCAAAAATTGAGAGGCACAGGATTAAAAGCATCCTTCCATTTATGAAAAGAATAAATATAAAAGAGACTACGTCACAGAAAGCTACTTCTTAAGATCAGGATTCACTTTTGTTCCAATCAAGTTTTGCTGCTATAAGAGAACAGTAAATTTCTATTACTACTTAGGTCTCAGACACATTCCTTATTAATAAGGTTGATATTCGGTCCCAGTTAGAGAGGGAAGTGTAACAAAAAAAGTAGAATATATTAATACAAGGGTTTAAGGTTGGATTTTTTTTCTTTTAAATCAAAACAGCTTGAAGCCACACAAGTGTAATGAATCAGAGTTGGTAAGGTCATACCTATCAAAACAAGAAGTTCTTTTCGGTAAGAAAAAAACTCCAAACAAAAAACATTGAAAGGTATTTTTAAGACTTTTATATCTGGGGAAAAATTTGACACTCATTTACAGCACTTCAGAGATTTTGATATACAGAAGACTTAAGAATAGGCACCTAATTTAATACTCACTGTTCGCTCACCTAAGTGTAATGATATTTGACTTGAATTGAATAGCTCTATCATTTGCATACTCAGTCCAGATTAATAATTTGGAAGTGGAAGGCACCCAATGAAGATCTCTATTGTCCCTTTAACATCTACTTTGCTTTGAACCTTGTTTCAACTGAGAAAATTAACATAAAGTGTGGCTGATATCAAACCCATTCTCTGCTGCAGTAAAAGGTCAGTATTACAAGTCCTAAGTAATATACAACTAGTTCATCAGCATGACAAGAAAAACATTATTCCATAAAAACCTCATGTATTGTGTGATGAGAAACATGCGTAAATAACCCAGCATGTATTTCTGCAATGACATTTTGAGCTTATTACAGCAGTCAATACAAACATTCTACTTAAAACTATTTAGCATTAATAAATACATGGTTGTTGTCTTGTAAATGATTTAGGTGTCAAAACTCAGCAGCAAAGCTGAAAGGATCTGGCATTCATACTGCAAATGAGATGACAGTTCCATAAAATTCATGCAATGCCAACAATAGGTATTATTTCAGAATATTTTACTTTCTGCTTTTAAAAAGTAAAATTTATACACTACTTTAAGAGAAATGTGAAAATTCCTTCTCTACAAAAACACAAATCATTCACCATATAGGAACCCCAGATACATGCTGACTGCTGAAGTATTTAATCATAAAACCCATATTTACACAGGAAAGACATTTTCTTAATACTGTACCATCCATTATTAACTCCACTCCTAATGAAATTTTCCCCAGTTTCAAGCTGTCAGACACTTTTCCACCTATCTATTTCTTATGGCAGATTATAAGGAAATGATATCAGAAAAATTAGAGTTGTACTTCAAAATAAACAGCCAAAATACACTTCTATTATGATATATATGATGTAAAAGGAGAGATTTGAAAGTCAAAAATGTTGACTGCTGGCTACCACTTGAGCAATGAAATGCTCCTTTTAACATCCTTTTAAAAAGCCCAGTTTATGAACTAATTTCAACAACCATGTTAGGAACGAGAGACATTGAAAGGATGGTTGTTTTAAAAGAATCAATCAGTAGATGAACTGGTTGGAAAACACTGCTTGATCATCCCATCATTTTGCAACAGCCAAAAGAAACTTTTGTTTTTTAGTTTTGAACTTTTTTCAAAAAATAACTGGTAGATTAGCAACTACAGCTCAATATTTGTTTCTAACAAATATTTAATTCAGAATCTTTTGTGGAAGTCATATTTCAACAATGCAAGTTACATTTAACTTAAAATTAGTAACTACAGAAAGAGATACCCACTGGTTTGTTAATCCATAGAATATCTGCGTTGTCTGACAAAGATTCATCAGGACCAAAATCCGTAACTGGCTGGGCTTCCACCCTTGAACTTTGTTTCCTTTTTAGCATCCTGAAGTTAACTTTTGTTATCTACAATCATGAAACCTCCTTCGGGAGAAAAAGACAGCAAACATTAATTCACTAAAACCATTTTATAATGCATTTTGAACGGTTTTATAAATAACCTAAAGCATTTTGTTTTCATGCAAACTGCTTTTGTACTTACTGATTAACAGGATATTCATTTTATTAAATATAAATCACTGACATGACTCTCATTATGTTACAAAAAATTTACACAAAGGTATGTAACACAAACAATTACCAGAAACTTAGCAAAGCTGACAGAAAATTTGTACCAATATGCAAAGAATGCTATTGCTGTGAACTTCAACACAGAGTAATCACTGGATGGATTTGACCTGAAGCCATTTAATTAAATGGTGACATTTCCATTTATTACATTAGGCTAAGATAAATCCCAACATACCAAAAGTAAACAGGCAATGTTAAGCAGCCAACACATATTAATGTTCTTTACTGAAATCGGAAGAGCCTTTTTGCTATATACTACTATTAACATGTATTTTTCTAATACTTTTTTTAATGTTAGCAATTATCTATCCAACACCTAGACAGATGGCTGTCTCTGGGGCTTGTGTTGGCACGTGGAAGCACTGAGGAAAATGTGTTGTTTGCACGGAGTCAGGCTAAATCTGGAAATTCCTGCATGGGTGGCACTGACTGAGACTTCTACATGCTCAGTGATGTGACCCACAACTAGGAGACACAACAAGAGAGCAGAAAGGTGAGTTACATCTTATTAGTCCTCGATTAGTTGGAGGCAATAGTTGACTCAGGACTGCAGAAGTCCCATGTGCTTGGTCTCAGCTGGCCTTTTCAATGACATGGGCTCCTGCTTCATGTCCAAACGCTACGCATGCATCCTTGGCTGTCTAGTCTTTTAGCTGTTATGGCAAATGTAAACTATTACTCTTATTCCAAGTCCCTCAGAGTCTACCCCTACTCTGTTTTCTCTCTTTCAGATTCAAGAGGACAGCTCCTGTGTCTATAAAACCAAGTCTGAACCATTTGTCTGTCTTTGCACAAACCACACAGCAACAGGGTTGAGGTCTTGTACTAATATACCCAGGTAGAGGAGCTGACATTATGCAGTGATTGATTTTTTTAAAATAAACAGACATAACACAAAAGCACAAAATAAGGGACAACTTCTGACACCTATATTCACTTGGTCATTCACAGCAACCTTAGTACAACTGAAACTGGTAAGCTGTCACTAAAACCATGCAAATATTGTAAAATGAACATTACAAATTAATAATCTTTCTCTAACAAATGAAGACTGAAATAATATTCACAGAGGTTATAAGTTCTCTTAGTCTTCATGCTCAAACTTCGTGCTCCCACCTCTATCATAACTGAATTCAGTACTTCCTCCTCTTTGGCAATTTTTTTCCACTTTCTCTTATTTCTTTCTAAGCCTGATATATTAACCTTTTTTCTCTACTTGGACCAAAGCATAACTAGAAATGCTTGAAGCCTCAATGATGCTGGTGTGCTTTTTGAAGTCATGAAACTTTAAAATGGCTACATTTAACCTAGTGATAAGAAGTCATTGCAATGCCTTGGGAGATGCATTTCCCAAAACCTTAGGGAAAAAAAAGACACTGCCTAAAATGTTTCTTGCAAATATGTTTTTTGGAAATTGTTACTCAAAAGCTAATCAGTGAATTAAAAAAATAATAATTTTATGTTTACTCTTTCTGGTAATGGCTACAACTGTGCTCCTAAGCTTTTAAGAAAATATGCAGCAATAAATAGAGAATTAATAAGATAAGTTCAATCAGTAATTATGAGAAAAGGCTCAGGATATGAAACACTGATTTTTGTTTAGCCACTACTGATTTTTTTTTTACATAAATGACACTCTAAATAACAAGCCATGTCCATTTAGGGAATAAAGTAGATAATTATCAACTGTCTTTCAGCAAGGCTCTGTTGTTTTTATGCTTTTCTCAATACCGTTTATTTATACATCTCATGTGTAGGAAGATTAGCCATGTCCTTTAATGAAATTCCCATTTTTCCTTTTACCCAGTGCCTCTTTGTTCAAGTTTTTTTTTTTAATTGGTCCAGGTACAGAAAATAATGTGAACCTTAGATGCTCATAATGGATGTTCATAATGGATTCAGTTCACATACTTAAATGTTGTGACTAAAGAGATTAGAATTCTTACTTTTAAGAGGCAGCCTTGAATAAACAACTCTTCATGTATCTAAACCTAATGGACGGAAGGGAAGGCAACGGAATATGAGAATCAGCTTGTCTACTTCTCTACTTGAAATGACCAGAAATGCACACAAAAAAATGCAGAATAAAGCCAAGAATATCATGGAAATGGTCTTCAGCAAGATTATTCAAAATATAGCAAGGTTGCTTTCAAGCTTTTTTTCCTTTTTTTTGTTCTCACTACTTTTATTTTACCAGGGAATGGCTTTTCCATGTGTCTGTTGCTGTAGAGCAACATAAAGCCTAGTATAGCTTCAGGACTCTGCCATGTATGTAAAGAATTTTAACCCTTGGACTAAAATCCCTTTTGCACTTGTTACTGCAAGGAGGAACCCACTGAAAGATGAAGAGAAGGGCAGCTGTGCACAAACTCCTTCCAGCATGTGACACGCAGTGAGCACCACGCCAAGCTGTGCTAATGGGGAGGCTGTAGTCCTCCCTAACCCTGACTACAAATCCACCCCTGCAGTTCCCGCATTGATTTTGGCACACATCATTAGGTCTTTCTTTGATCACAACCTGTTATTAATGTGAAAGGCTTAATACATTCCCTAGGATGTACTTCTAGCTCCAGTGTTTTTTAAGACATACTGGGTGCAGGGAAAACACAGGCTTGAGACAGGAAAATATCACGAAGTTTTGGGGCTACAATCACTTCACATTTCTTTGGAGTACTGATAATCCTGAGTCTCATTTATAAAGCAAGCTCACTGTATACAGTATAATCTGCTCAAAAGATCTCCATCACAAAGTCAAGAGAACATGCTTATAAATACTCTGGCTGACAAAGAAGGCAGTTGAAAAATGACTTCACAGAAATATAAACAGGAAAATAAATCAGATATTCCTACCTACAATTTATGGAGAGAGTCTGAAAATCAGATAAAACCTTGAAATCAGCAATATCTGGCTTCCAACATAACTTCTTTCTCACTGCTGATTGACTTCGTCACGTGAGATCACGTGAGCACTATGTGAAGGTCCTCCCAAGGCAGGCCACATATAAGCACTCTCTTCAACACCAGTTCTCTCTCTGAAAATGTCAACTCCCCTTCCAACTTTTCCCAGAGCAGGGACAGAGAAAGTGGCACATAACACTTCAAGACAATAACTACAAATGTGAAAGCTAAAAGGGGTGACAGAAGAGGATGTGAACACCCATACACATAGCATGATGACAAAATCCCATTTCCATACTATACGTTAAAAAAAGCCTCAAACTACAGGCTATCTTAAGGAAATTGATTGCTCTTAACTGTAGTATGCATTATACAGTTATAGGAACAATATAAGTTCTCATTCTTTCATCTCAATAGCCGCCTTCTTTCCCTCTTTACCAATTGTCCCTGTTTCTCTATTGCCTGCTCCCTCTATTCCTACGTTCTTCCATCCCTGATTTTGGGTGCAGGTACAGGTAAACGGCATGTCAGTATTTGTTTTCATGTAGAAAAAAATTTGAAGTGAGCAAATTACGTATGTGACAGTATATTTATTTTAGAAGGGTAAACACGAAATTCCAGTGGATACAATCACATAGCACATGCCACCACGGATGCTATTAACTCATACCTAATTTTAAGGAAGAATTTATTTCAGTACTTTTCCTCTCTATGTGGTATTGTTGCATCTGATGAATGATCTCTTCATTATTTTGAACACGATATACTGCTAACCAAACTTTAGTGTTTATTAAAAACAAACCTAGTTCTTCACAAAGAAGGTATACTGAAGGAAATATCCTAAAAATCAGTTACATTCACATTTTCAAATCATTTGGATACAGGTAGGAAAGAACAACTGGTGATATCTTGTACTTACTAACAGGATCCCACACTAAAAATACGAGAACTGGGGTTTAACAATTGCTTACGGCTGCCAATGCAATAACATCTAGTCCGAAAATAGACAGATGTCCAGACTTCAGTTCTTTGCTCCCAACACATCTCCTGTGTCTTGCCTCAAAGTATTTATTTCTTACATATGAGTTCTTCCACTCAGACACAGCCAAAATAATTCAGAACTACTGAGCAGACAGAATCAAATTATCACATTGTATGCAGAGGCAGATCTCTTGTGAGTTAGATATAAAGTCTACCTCTATTGTCACATGATGTATCACAAATCCTTTTTACTATAGGCCTTCTAACATCCAGAATATACAATACCAAAGACACTACACATGCATATACATGGTGCCATAATGCAGCCAGAAAATGAACTTCTTAATTTTAAATAGAATTGCTTAGCTTTTTTATATTTTTCTATTAAAAAATTTGGTTGTGTCAAAAAAAAGGCAGAACAACTGTAGATGATTTTTCAGTTGGTGCCGTTAGACCACACCATGGCACATTCCACCATACTTCTTTTACATACAATGGCCTGAAGTTGTGTCAGGGGAGGTTCAGGCTGGATATTAGAAAAAGGTTTTTCACCCAAAGGGTGGTTGGGTGATGGAAGAGGCTCCCCAGGGAAGTGATCACAGCACCAAGTCCAACAGAGTTCAATAAAGTATTTGGACAATACTCTCTGGCACATGGTGTGACTCTTGGTGCTGATCCTCTGCAGGCCAGGAGTTGCACTCGATGATCCTTGTGGGTCCCTTCCAACTCAGCATATGCTGTGATTCTGTGAATGCACAGTAATGATATGTAGAGAATATACTGATGGTAATTTATTTCCTTTATGGATATATAGCACAGTTTAACAGCTATCTTACTGCAAAAGTTCACTTCAACTGTAGGCCACCTACCCACCACTTGCTGCCCTAGGATTGGTCTACTGCAATATAGCCTATACAAATATCCTTAAGAGCCCATAGCTGACAAAGACATGCAGCAATGTCCTTAGCAAGAATCATGCTGGAAAAAATGGAGAGTGGTGTTCTGTAATTTGCTTTTGCAGTCTCCTGGTAGAAGTTGTGTCTAGCCCTTTGCAAAAGTAATGGGACAGGCAGTACCAGGTCTTTGTTTGAGAGGATTCAGGAAGCAACCCATCCTCTCTCTAACATATCCCACATTCAGTAACATGCTATGAATACCGCAGATCTATTTTTCAGACTTTTAAAGAAAAGAGTGAGGGCATCCTTCCCAGAATGACACAGGTGGAAAGGAGCCTCTCTGTAGGCAGATGGCTGATGGCATGCCTGCTTAAGTGATTATTTTAAGGTTGCTGGGATTTTTTTGTGTATCAATAATTACATGTTAGTGTGCCTAGAACCTTGTATACACATCCTTTCTTAATTTAAATTGAAATACATTAAAAATTAAAATAAACAGTGGTTATATTATTTTGGATTTGTTACAGTTTTTCTAAAATAATTATTAAAGCAATTGAAATATTCTAGATCATCTTCCTTTCCCAAATTCTCCCCTTTCTATCCTCTAAGGAATTGCCAGTGAAACAGTTAACATGTATATATTTTAAAACTGAAGTCCTGAAAACAGAATTAGGACTTTTTTATCCTCTTATCTTTCCTTTAAAACAAAGTAATTGATATGTGATACACATCTTCCTTGCTGCAGGGCAGTTCCTAGAAGTCACAGCCATAATCTCTGACACTGTAGGTACTGTACCTGAAGGCTTTATTTTGGAGAGAAAAAAAACAAAGGAAAACTGAGTTCATAGAATCATAAGACAGATCAGGTTGGAGGGACTTCAGCTCTGCTCTTGTGAGACTCCACCTGGAGTACTGCATCCAGCTCCAGGGCCCCCAATACAAGAAAGACCTGTTGGAACGAGTCCAGAGGAGGGCCATGAAGATGATCAGAAAGCTGGAGGTCCTCTCCTATGAAGACAGGCTGAGAGTTGGGGTTGTTCAGCCTAGAAAAGAGAAGGCTCCATGGAAACCTTCTAGCAGCCTTCCAGTACCTAAGGGGGGGCCTACAAGAGCTGGAGAGGGACTTTTCACAAGGACATAGGACACTTAAGGCAAATGACCTTAAGCTGAAGGAGGGTAGGTATGGATTAGATATTAGGAAGAAATTCTGTATTGTGAGGATAGTGAGGCACTGGAACAGGTTGCCCACAGAAGTTGTGGATGCCCTATCCCTGACAATGCTCAAGGCCTGGCTGCCTGGGGCTCTGAGCAACTTGGTCTAGTGAATGGTTTCCTGCCCATGGCAGGGGGTGATGCAGCTAGATGATCTTTAAGGTCCCTTCCAACCCAAACCATTCTATGATTCTATGACTTCAGGAGGTCACCAGTCCCATTTTCTGCTCAAGCAGTATCAACTGTGACGAAAGACCAGGCTATTGCAGTTTACTCAGGTTATTCCAGTCCAGCCATGGAAACCTCCAGCAAAGGAGACCATACAATTTCTTCAAGCAACTTGTTCCACTGCTTGATTTTCCTCACCAGTGGAAGGGGGGAGGAGGGGGGTTAAGAGAGAGAGATGGAAGATTAAAACATCACAGAAAATAAAGAAAGGAAAAAAAAAAGATTACCTAGTAGAGCCAAGGCGATTTGCAACCATAGTCTAGTACTGGTATCCCTCAAAGCAAGGCATTTACCAGTACTCAGCCAATACACGAAACTTCAAATGAAATAAAAGATGCGATGAAGGTAATGAAAGGGAGAACAGAGAAAGACTGAAAGGGAAAGAAAACATGATTCAATCTGTAATGTTCATATTAGGCTGACTTTGCTCTTTATCTCCAAAAGATTGCATGCTCAAAATCTACAGGAGATCTAAGTAATAGGAAAATATCCTATTAGTAACACAGTAAAAATAATTTGTAATGAGGTCTGGAGACAGATCATCTATAACGCTGCTGATGCTTTTGAGAAAGCACGCAGGATCACCCTTGAGGAGAAAAGACAACGCAGAAAGAATCGAGCCTTGCAGAATATACCATCTAAGGAGTCTTTCTGCTGTGCCCTTTGCAACCGGACATGCCTCTCTCGTATTGGCCTTTTTAGCCACCAACGCGCTTGCAAGAAACGTGGGTAGAGCCCTTCCCAAATCTTCGTTCGCGAAGCCTAGCCATGATGAAAAATAATTTGTGAATGCAACACCTCTGTTTTATTCATAAGCACATCAAAAATCTTGTTTGCAACTGACTAGATTCCTAAATACCTAGGGAGGATGAGAGGAAGCCCAAATCCCCAGAAGCCAGTACCAGTTCTATCTCATCATGAGATACTCATGCCTTAAGAAGACATTCTTATCCATGAAAGTCTAAGACTTGTCACCTCTTCTAGAGCTTGGTCCAGTAGCCCGTTACTCCTAGCAGTGCAGCACGACAGTATTCATCTCCTATCGTGAAGGTTTAAGAGCCAAAACCTCTTTGACTCAATATACAGGTTTGGATGAATGCCATACAGATTTACATAAGTGTTCATGGTACCAGCAACGACCAGGAGCTGGAAGGAAGTCAAATCAGAGTAAGTTATATTTCCAGGTGGTATAGCTTAAATGGGTATGAACTGTGATGGACCAAATTTCAGATTAAAATAAAGTAAATGCACCAAACAAGAAGACCATGGGTCCACATAAAGCACAAATGACATGCTGATTGTTACAGTTTTAAAATTTCACTGTAAAACACAGTACCAAGCTCAAATGGTAAAACAAAAAATTTCTCAACTGTTCCTCAAAATCTCAAAAGTATATGCATAAACTTGAAGAGAGCTAGAATCTTCTAGCAGCCAGTGAGTTTAACTCAAAGCAGTGTGATTTCCCGCCCCTCATTGAAGTTTAACTTCCTGATTCAGCATAGTTCATTGTTAATATGTATCATTTCTCTGTTGGTCACTTAGAGGGCAGGTGGGATGGGGCTGCTGTGGAAGGAAATGAATAGAGACAGCGATATTTAACAGGAAATTGACGATGCTTAAGACAAAGACAAAAGACTCAAATAGCATTTAGTTAATTTTTTCTCACTGTAAATATTTGCCTTAACACAACAATGGTTAACCTACCAAATCATAGCTGACTTAAAAGGTACGTTTGCACATAAAGGCCATCAAAAATCCTCATCCTTCCTAGAAATATGTCTCTGATGTTACCAGGAGTACTAAAATAAACAAGATGCCAACAACGAAAAATTATTAAGCACCTCTCTCTCCATTTGATGAACAAACCCCTGAAACTGCAAACTAAAGATTTACTCCAGGCCTGGGTACGTCGCTCTCTCCAACCACCCCAACCCCGCAGCCTCTGCGGACCAGCTGAACCCTCTCCTCAAGGAGAGAGCTCCCCACAGCCATCCCCGTCCCCGTCCCCGTCCCCATCCACAGCCACCCCATTAAATAAGTGCACCCCGAAGAGGCCTGTTCGCCCCTCGGCCCTGCCCTGCCTCAGTGACGAGTGCGGCACTCCTGCACCCCACCGAGGGATGCCGAGGGGTCCGGAACAGTCCCGGCGGCGAAGGCCGACGGCGGCCGGGCCGGAGCGCCCCCTCCCACCGCGGGGGAAGGACAGCTGGGGCGGGCGATGCGGAGGGCGCCACCGCCCCTTCCCCCTTCGCCGCGGAGCCGGCCAGGCCTCTCGCCGCGCCCGTCCCCTCCCTGGGAACCGCCAGCGCTGCCTGCAGAGCCGCGGCGGCCGCCGGCCGCGGAGGGGCCGACGAAGGGGGCGGGAAAGCGCGGGGGCCCCACCGCGCACCGAGAGCGAGCCGCGCCCGCCGCCTCCGACCTACCGCCAGCATCTCCTTTCATGGCGCGGTCGGGAGGGGTCCCCGCGGGTGTGCGGGGTGTTACGGTGCTGTGCCAGCCCCGCACGCCGCCCTCCCGCGCTGGATCGCGGCGGCGGGGCCCGCCCGGCGGCGGCCGCGCTCAGTCTCTCGGCAACGACGGCGGGGGCGGGCGGGGACGGAGCAGGTGCGGGGGAGACGGTGCCGACCGCGCACGGGCGCGTTGGGACAAACAGACCCCCGCCTTGCTCAAGCCTCCTGCTGGGAAGAGAGGGGGCTGAGCGGCTCCAGAGCAGCGGGGTGACCCCACGGCGGTCCCGTCACGCAAAACACCCCCATAGCTGCTTGGAACTGTGGTCGCTGCGCCCCGAAACACGCAAGGGGCGACCTGCATGGGACGGAACTCGCCGGGTGGTGCCCCAGGCTGAGCCCGAACAGCTCCCATCCGAACAGCAGCGCTGTAGGGCTTTGGTTTGAGGTGTAGCTTTTTTGTTTGTTGGTGGGTTTGGGTTTTTTGCTTGGTTTTGGTTTGGTAGGGGGTTTTTGTCTTTGTTTGTTTGTTTGTTTGTTTGTTTTTGGTTTTTGTTTAATGATGATGCTCAAGTGATGGGATAGTTTATTTATTTTGGCAAGAAACCCTATTTGTGCATCTTAAAGCTTTTTTAGTACTCATGACCTTCTTTGCCCGTTCTTCACTGGTAGCATCATCTGGGTGGTCTGGTTACTAATGAAGAGCCAAGTAAAGGCTCAGTCGACATGGTGAATTAAATTCATAAAATAGCATCACTTGTTGGACTAGATGATCTTAGAGGTCTTTTCTAGCCTGAATGAATCTAGGAAAGAGATACTAAAAAAAAATAAATAAATAGATAAATACTTGGAAAATTGTTTCTGTACATGAGTTTGACATGCTCCAATTTGTATTTTTATATTCTTGAAAAAAAAAAGGTACATTTCTGAAAATTATAATTTGTGTTTAAATGAAACCTGATGATAGTGAATAATGTAAGCTCATAAACTTATGAAGTTTGCAAAGACATGGAATAGGATTTGAAAATAACCCAGAAAGCTGAAGGAAGGTATATGGCACAAATTGTACTACGCTTCTTTAAATTACATTTTTTGTCTATTTGATGCTTGCAACAAAAACTAATAAGCCGGTTAGGGAGCTGGCCTCAGGATTACAGATGCAGTCCTGCCAGCACTACTTATGTGTATTACCAGCATTAGCAATTCCAGTAAATTTAAGCACCTAATTGTAGTGTGTGCAGGCCTAGTGTATTTGATAGCTGCTAAAAAAACCAAACAAACCAATGGAAATGTGCTTACAAATAATACTTTTCACATTTTGTCTTTTTCCTCCCCAGTTATGTTTTATTACTTGGGATAAGTTGCTGGGCAGCACTATGCTGTTGGTGATAGCATCTCATAAATGAAAACTGACAGTTGCAAACAATGAAATGTTGCACCTATATCTAAGCAAAAGAAATCAGCATATGCCAGCAGATGTGACTTTGTGTAACAGTTTTTCTATGGATATACTGGCTTCTGAAAAATAATTCTTGATAGAAAAATTTTCCAGTTGGAAGGGACCTCGCGAGACCATCTGGTCTGACCAATCTGCTGAAACCAGACTCAGCAATGAGATCACACCAGCTTGCTCAGGGCTTTATCTGTTTGGGTCTTGAAAACCTCCCAAGACAGAGACTGCACAGTCTCCCTAGGAGGCCTGTTCCAGTACTGGACTGTCCTCATGGTGAAGGATTTTTTCCTGACACGCTGTTGGGCCCTCTCTTGTCTTCTGTCTCTCCTCCTCCTGCAGTGCACCCTGGAGAATAGCCCAGCTTCGTCCTCTTGACAGCTTCTTCATAAACCCTGGTAGACTACTCTTAGATGCCCCCTGAAGCCATCTCTTCTCCAGGCTGAAAAAGATCACCTCTTTCAGCCTCTCCTCATGGAGCAAGTGCTCCAGCCCCAACCACCTTGGTGGCCTGCCACTGAACTCACATATTACCATCTTTCAGGTGTTGGAGGGGAGCTCAGAATATGATGCAATATTTTAGGTAGTTTAATGAGTGCCAAAAAACAGGTAATAATTTCCTTACATGTGGTTTGTATTATAGGATGCATATTTCCTCATATATTTCAAACTTTTACCTGGTGTTGTATTTGGTATTATATTGTTACTACCTGCCCACACTGAGCCTCTATGAACTACAAGTGCTAATGGGGACCCACATTTCAGCAGAAGACTGGATTCTCTTGTACAGCCTGTCTGTGAGCACCACTTGCATCAGACGATGCTAGTGCTGAAAAAAGGGTTTAGCCCCTGAAGCCTTGATGTACCTGCCTATGTGCAAGGGCAAAATAGCAGTCTTCCATTTATAGAATTGTGCAGACAGAGAAAGTCTGCTGTTTTCAAGAAAAAGTGCTGTCTTGCTCTGCTATTTCACCACAAATTTACTTTCAGATCAGTCACGTGAAAAGCAATGATGAACACTTTAGAACTCGAATGGCATATAACATGTATATGAGGATAAAGTGGAAAACTTAGATATCTATAACATTTCTGATATAATTTTGCAAAGACCCTATCAGTCTTTTGAAGTCCATAACAATGTTTAGTATTTAAGGCTGAAGTCTGGTTTTATTCTGATTTAGAAAATTCACATCAACCTAAAATTCAAACCATAAACATATAGATAAGGACTGAATCTGGGAGTTAATCTTATGATGTTACTTTATGGTTGCTTGAAATAGGTTAAAAGGAAAAATGTGTCTTAGTATAGATTTACCTCTCTGCTCTACAAATCAGGAACAGATAAAGGAACTTCCTTATTCAATCATCAAACTTTGAAACTGGTCATAGGAAAATGTCCATTTAAAAGGAGAACTTTGGAAAATTCCAGAAGATGTCATACTTAGAATTCAAGGGGAGAATTCTCAGCCTTACATATCACTTTAATTTCTGTAGCATGATCTGCAAACACAGTAAGATCTTCCCAGATAAAAGATAATTAACAAACCAAAGTTTCGTGGACCTGCTAACTCAATAAGTCCTGAAGAAAAATGTGGAATGTAAAGCATGTACTTATTTTGCATGTTTCCTTGCAGAATCTGGAGAGCCCTCAAGCCCTGTTTTATTTTTCTGGGATGCAGTTAACTCAAGCAATTAAAAGGATAAAAATTAGAGTGAAGCATTTTTAGAGTGCACCAAAGAAGGAGGGTAATGGACATCCTTATCTTCCCCATTGTCAGTGAGGAAGAGCAGGGGTTAAGAAAGGAAAGCACTAGCAGGTCCCCAACACAAGTTGGGGGCCAACTATTTGTTCTTGCAAAATCCAGTTGCTACTCTCCCATTTGCTGACAGCTGTATAAATATGCATGTTTCCTCAGACAGACACATATTTTAACTATCCCACTGTTATTGGAAGGAAGTAAAACCACATTAGAAATAGTGGAATTGTGGGGGGTTATTTCTGAATTTATTTGAGCTTTATTTGGTCTCTTGTCCTTACTTTCCATAAGTATCTGTTAAGGAGTTAAAGAGTAATATAAACAAATTTTAAAAACATCCGAAGGAGTTGAGTTTATTGGAATTGCCATTGTTGAAATTTGATTTACCATTTAGGAAAGAATGAAGTGCTTGATCAGATTTCAGATAGTCTATAATGAGTAAAAGAATTCATGAAATATTCATTTTGAAATTATGCTTGAGCTTTTAAAAAAGGTCACAATATATCGTTTAGCAATTCATAATTAAACTTCAGACCCAAAGGAAGATTTAATCATTTAGGCATAGGATACAAGTCAAAAACTGCTCAATTCCTGTCTCTCTAGTCCTGTGCAAAGTCCTTAGTCCTCTTAATGGTGATTACCACAAAGTTGTCCCATAGTCAGAATTCCTGCTCTGTGCATGCTGAGCAGCCCCTGGTATTGCTAGAGCTCCACATGATTCAAATTATCTGAGCAGCCTGACTTGTTTCCACCTGTCTGGTCCTTGTGGCTCAGGCTAGAGGTAGTCTTGCTCAGAATCATGTAACCATAACAGAAATGACCACAGAACAACTTGAGACTAATGACGGTGGGAGAAGATCAGTTACTGTTCCTGAGTAATTTTGATTGAGATGGGTTAGAAAACTGTCATTCTTGAGTGTCCGTGATCTGTGTCAACATTGATGATCCAGAATATAAGACATGGAGTATGGTTTTTAAAATTTCAAACCTTAAAAAGAATCCTAAATCTGCAACTAACTATGTAATGTTTAGTTTGCTTTCAAAAAGTACCAAGTATTTAGAAGAGGAGCAATAATGGTGTTCTTCTGCACTTCCTTTTTATTAATTTCTGTCTCTTCTTCATTTTTGGTTTGATAGCAAGCACTGCAAGACAGAGCGTTGAAACCATACAAGGTGGTTGCAGTTGCTTGGGTAATCTGGTGTGCATATGTTCAGCTCAGGCACTCAACCTGAGTTACTGCAGTTTTGGCCTTAGGAAGTCAGCAGTACCTGTTTTTTAAATTTGCTAACCTTAAAAACAACTCTTCAGCCAAAACAATGACAATAATCCTTCATTGTAACTCATTCAGGTTAAAGGTTGTTAAAAAGATCATAAGTCAAAAAGCACAAACAGTAGTCATTCTTATTATATTTTCCACTATTTTTTATTCTTTAAGATTCCCAGCATCAAGAAATGTTATCCCTTAGAGAAATGAGGCACAACTTGACCACAGAGTAACAATTTATGTTGGAAAATGACATGCCTTTTATTTACTTTCTTGGGCTCTTCAACCATACTGTTAACTCAGCTTACCACAGACCTTGACTCACTTTCAGGAATAAGTGCTTAACAGTTAAGAACACAGTAGGCTGCTCTTTAAAATACACTATTATTGCTGGCATTCTGAGCTTTCTTGCAAGCTCATGTTTAAAAACCTTCTACTTCCTTTAAGGCCTCTGTAAAAGCAGGGTGTTATTGCTGTTTAGGGGAGTTCAGTAGCAAACACTGAACAAACAAAAGACTTACCAACTATTTAAAGTTTCAGCTGAGACATTAAAGAGTAAGCTAAGGTTTTACACTAGAGTATAACACAATAACATCTTGATTAACATTGGCCTATGAACTGTTTGGGTAGCTTATATTCTCTACTATTCAGGCCCGCTACCTTCAGACGAGCTCAGCTTTAATCTTGTTCTAACCTTGATCCTATAACTCCAAAAGCTATTTGTATTCCCTATGTGATACCATCAGCTGTCCCAGATTCCATGTCATGCCAGCAAAATTAACACAAAGTTTTCAGTTCTGTACAGCTCTGGCATACTCTGTCTCCTGCCCCCTTCCAGGGATGCCATTGGCTATCACAGTGATGACTCTCAACAGTTGCATGCATTTCTGAACTGTTTAATTTAGACAGATTTTAGTTAACTCCATCAAGTACTTTGCTCCACGGGTGTTAAAGTGGTTTGTCATAAATCTTTACAACCATCTCATT